ACTTACGAAGAGACGAGTAGTTAACTGAAAGCTCGTTGTTGCTGGAACGCCTGGGCCATCAGACCCATTAACCAACGCCCAAAATCTCTTGGTTGTCCGTGATTCCTCAGCCCAAACATTGCATGCACCATCCTTTAATCTCCAGCGAATCATCATATCATTCTCTCCATGCAACTCGAGGTGCTCTCGACTCCAGAAAATCAGCTCTCTCAACGTCGGCAGTTGGATCGAATATATTCCATATTACGGCGCCTTTAATTCAGACGCCCACTTCTACACGTAGGATACGGTCGGCAATCGGCTCTCGGCTATATTCTCTTCTTTCTCAGAGCAGCGGATTTGAGATGGCGATGATCCGTGAGAGAAGAGAACTGACCCTGGTGGCCAGAAAGCTCGTTGATTAAAAACTCATCGACAGAGCTGGCCAAAGCAACGAGCGCCAGCGAACGGTTCAAGGGGCTGTACCCACCTCGAGTCGTTCGCTCGTGTTCAAGCCATCAAGGGTAGCCACCGTGGACAAAAAAAAAAAAATTAATGAAGCATCTTCTTCAATCTGCCATTTGATTTTTATTACCACAAATGCCATGCAAGGTTACCAAAAATACTTATTATTGGATGGTGGTAAACCGTTGTTTGAAGGGCATGCGCCCTTTGGAAGTCTTGGAGGGAAAGAAAGAAAAGAAGAGGGAAGCGGAAAATGCATTCGCGCAAATATCAGGTTTGTCTTACCCGTTTGATGAGAGTGGGCAAATTCCCACCCAACCACCACCATGAAAAAGCGCCAAAATGCGCAGCCGTGGCGCCATTGTTCCCCCCGCCGCTTCGAAGTATCTGGAATACGCAGAATTTATAATTACAGACTTTTTTCGAGTTTTCTTTGTTCTTCACCTGCGATTGAGCAGAGTTGTTTTGAGGCTCAAGAAATCCATATGGAGTGGAGCCTCTCACCAAAACATAAGCTTGGAGAACATGCAATTTTAGGGGCGTGCAGAGATTGCTCATCACGTCTCGATTCAAGCGTTTGCAAAGAATAAAAATTATAAAAACCATGAAACGCACCATTCATCAGCCACATTTCCAGGGTGGATGTCCATGTCCATCCATGTCACGACTGAAGACGGGCCATGATCATCATGAAATTTTGATTTTAGTTAGATCACGATAATCATGGACCCTCAGCATAATTGTTTTCTGGAGGCAGCCCTCATCGTCAACACACGGAGAATTTCGGGGAGACCACAGAGCGGTCTATAGGCTTTACAACCTGTAGAACGACCTCCTACTCCGTAGAGTTGGATATCTCTCATAATGTGCAGCTTTCTGTGACGAATGATTTTTCTGGCATGAACTGCTACGGCCCTTTCATGCAACTTGGAAATGTGTGCATGTCGAGTGTGGTTGTCCGTTGATTGGGCGCACACATACTCAAGGGCGTATTTTGCCTGAAATTGCATTCCAAAGGTCCACACCACTGCGGCCGGTCGGGGAATATTTAACTGGACAAACCTCGAATAAGGGGGGCCGACTCCGTCCCTGTCCATCCTTGGCGTCGCTGTCCCCCAGCGGCCGAAGTCATGGAAACCTCCTCAGATTGAAGGTTGCGCGTTGCCAGGGACAGCAGCAGTAGCACCCATGCTGACTGGCTGAGAAGCCCTGCAAATCTGCCTAAAATCTGTCGCGAAGCATGCAATTTCGGTTATGCGTGGTAGCTAGCTGCAACGCGACTAGCGGCAGGCACAGTGCGGCGATGTTGTGCGCGCCATGTCCCAAACAGGGCTAGCCGGCAGCTGTCATGAATAAGATGCTGGCAACGGCCCTGCTGGGGGTTGCAATGGGATCTTTATTTAGCCCGGGCTGTCATCCCACAGTGCTCACTTCTTTTCTCCCTGTCCTTCTGTCTTTCTCCCTGTTCCTCTCCCTTGCTCACGCTGACCATTCCTTCGTTCATCGTCCTCTTCTCACCATTCTTTTCACTCCTTTTTAAGTCTCTCGCAGACTTCCTCTCGTCTTTTTTATATCCAGAGTCAAACTTCAGGCTCCAGTCACTCCTTACACACGAAAAAACAGTTCTACTTTCTTGTCCCAAGGCCCATTGTTTTTTGATACCCCCTCAATTTTATAAGTGTATCTTAGCGAGATACCTCATTTTAACAAGCCCTTCGAAACGAGCATCGCAGATATGAAGTTCATCGCCACTGTTGCGGTTGCGTTCGCGGCTCTCGCAGCTGCTTCCACCGAGCCTGACTACTCCCAACTCCCTACTGGCAATCCCATTGCTCTGCCAGGCTTGAACGATATTGTGCCCGTTGGTCAGCCATACACCATCACATGGCAACCTACTACTGATGGGGAGGTTTCACTCATTCTCCTGCGCGGCCCCAGTAACAACGTTAAGCCAATCGGCACTATCGCTGACTCTATTGCAAATACTGGTTCTTATGAATGGATACCCTCTACCGACCTCGAAGGCGACGTCACGCACTATGGCTTGATGATTGTCGTCGAGGGAACGGGCCAGTATCAATATTCTACTCAATTCGGCATTAAGAACGATCACGCATCACCCTCTGTTACAGACGGTACCGTTCCCTATCCCGTGACCACCACCAGCACCCGTACTTTAGTTCCTATCTCGACCGGCACTATTACCATTTGCCCCCCAACTAAGACTCCAACCCCTACTCCATCAGGGCCAGTTCCTTCCGGTTACCCAACCGGCATCCCAAGCCCATCGCCAAGCCCACCACCATTCCAAGAGGGTGCTGCCGGCCGTAACGGTGTCGCCATTGGCGGCATCGTCTTTGTCGCTGCTCTTGCCATTTTCGCCTTCTAATAAGTATTCGCATGACGCAGGGCGTTGGAGTAATGGAGAGGGAAAAGAGAATAATAGCAAGCAGAAAAGAGTTTTGGAAGGGCTTATGAAATTTTTTCTTAGTTTGGAAAGAGAGCGGATTGGAATATTTTCTAATATCTATCTTCTCATTAAAGGTCATGGAATCATGAAATAGCAAGCAAGCCGGATACGAAATAGCGAAATCGGGAAGGATTGTCTCTTGTTCAATTTATCGTCGTGTTTTATCTCATTTACTTTTGAAAATATCATGTACTGTAACTGCAGCAGACGAGGCGTCCCTTTGACAATATTTCTTTTTCGAAGCGAGATCTTGACCCAGCCTTTCCGGATCGAAACCATTCCAAACTAATGAACGATTTCAAAGTCGTTCCATTTTTCTTCTCTACTTTGATGCTTCCTTTTTACTTTCTAATCCTCTCCCCATTTCTCATTCTTCAACAATTTCTTTAATTTTCTTTAATTTTCATTTAATTTTCATTTGTTTTCAGCTTTATTGACTTTTTTTTCACATAATTGTTTGTCTCCTTTCTTCTCTGGTGGGATCAGAACTGATTCTCACAACTTTCTTTCATGTTTGCTTGAAGGTTCTCAGGGTGCTTCTATCAGACTCGCTACCTCCGTGCCACGTTGAAGATACCTGGGTAGAGGTCCTCAGGAGCTCCATGTAACCTTTCCTTTCAATCAACCATCTCCTTTTACTTCTTATTCTTGTTTTGAATCGGCTATGGCCTTTCTGTGATTCTGACCCGGGATGCAGCCTAATTAGCTCATGCTTATTTGAGCAACAAATTAGCTGTACTTGGCGGTTTTATTGCTCGTCTACCCCTGATCAGCATCCTCCATCATTTGAAAACCGTCACTGGCAGTTCAACCTCTTGATTTGTTTCATCGCAGGGCAAATTAAAGATACCTCTGGTTTTGAGAGCTGCACTGACCCGTCGAAACTCCTCCCTTTGATCCCGCGCTTCGCTCTGCCAAATGGAAAGAGATTCGAACCTTCATCATGCCCCTGACACACCCTTATTGACGAAGACACTGCCTCCGTTCCGGATACAACAAACACTAAAAGAGAACATTCTACGCATCTCCGCAGGCATCTATTCTCCTCCGCCAACTGCTTGAAAAATTTGAACGCCCCCAATTTCCAGGCCGCCCAGGATCAGGGGAGATCCTGTTCTTTGACAATCCTTTCAGAGATTCAACGGACCGAACGCCTGTGATTGGGTTAACCGTTATAAGTGTGGATATTAACTTCCCGCCTGGAATGGAAGCTTCGTTGGTCAGCTCATGAGGGCTATCTTTGACCTCAAGAAGTTGCTCGGTTCACACCTTCAATAGCCCACCCACTTCATCATGATGGTGTCCAAATTCCAGCGGATTCAGAGAAAGTCACAGGCCCATTGGGAAGGGAATAATCACCAATCTCTCCGGGGTAAAGGTTTCCGACGCTTCTCTGGCGCGGGATCTGTTAAACAAATGACCGATTCACTGCCGGGTTTGATTGTGATGATTTTCGCCGCTCATTTTCTTAAAGGATTTGATGGAGTATTTCGGCGGGATAACGTGCTCATTTCTCGAATGAATTTTTTTCTGTTTTGATAGCTAGTTGCCAGTTCCCGGTGGAACGACGGCTAGGAAGGTTGTTTTGGGTGAACTCCCGGTGACTTCTCTGGGGGCTGATCACCTCTGTACTGCCACGTGAGTAATAAAGAGGTAGAAAAGTTATGTCTAACCTGCAATTTTAACATATTCTCGATCACCCTCATACTTTTTAATAGCTTATTTCCAATACTTCTGATTTTTTTTTTTTTTTTTATTTATTTATTTCCCTCAACTCTGTACTGCGTATGCGAGCAACGCGCTTAGGAATTTTTCTTTTCTTTTCTTTTTTCGTCGTCCGTAAGTGTGCCTCTTTGAGAAAATGGTTTCCATACATCACGCAATCTCCAACATATCCTCACATACTCCGCGAATATTTATTGGACAGATCCTATTATGGAAGTACTCCGTATAAGAGAGAGTATTCATGTACTGACTTCGAGAATTGAAGAACAATTACATAGATTGGAAGTGCATCATACGCTCATTGACAGTGAGTATCCATTCATCTTTACTGGATAGTAGAGATCATTGTGCAGAGAAGTGGCCAATTTAACTAATCTTTCAATCACATTCGTCTCATCAAATGTCGAGAAAGGTATATTACTCTCTTCAATGCTCATTGCGTTTGATTATTTTTTTTTTTCCTTCCCGTTGAGGACGCAAGCTTCTTCAGGGGTCAAGTATCTATGAAAGCTTATTGTAAGACATAAATCTCTTTCCCAGATATGCCGCTAACTCCTGAAGTTAGAGCCAATCTACTCCGTAGAAGCGGGGCAGCTAATTTCAAGCAAACGTTTGGTCCCACATCCAATAATACGATCCCCACAGTTCCAAAGTTCTAGCTAAATTATCAAAATAAAGTTCCATTTTCAAGTGTTCTAACTTCTCCAGCTAAAAGCAATGATTTTGAGCCTCAAGGTTGAAAAACAAAATGCTTGTTTTCTGGTTTCTAATGGGACCCCCCCCCGCCCCCCCACCTCTCCTCAGATTCTTTTAAAGGTCTTCTCGATTGCATTAAAAATTCATTGATACTTCTCTGTTTGTAAAGCTTGATTGAAATAGCAGACTGACAAGAGCTATTGGAAAAGAAAAATTTTCCCCCTTGAACAGCAGCAACTGTTCGGAGTCGGCGTTCTCCGTTAAATGATCAGGCACTAGCTAGGCATTTAAAATATACGCTGCTGACCAACCTTGGCCAAAAAGACCATAAGATGGGCACCAAACACCTACCTATTTCTAAAGCGGCGCCCTCTAGCGGGGCCTGCCGTTACAGCAACCTACGTTGCAGACCATTCACCCAGCATTGTGGTGGTACCAAATGTTACATCCATCTAATAATAGGAGCAAGACTCATAGCATTTCATGAAGGATAATTTTATATACATCTCAGCACCGTCCACTCAACTTTACTCCGTACCATACACAGTAATCCACTTGATATTATTATTATTATTATCAATTGTTGCTATCTAGCTAGTTAGCTTATTTACCTTGGGTGTTCTGTACTGTACAGTGGGGGGAGATAATTATACATACAATTAGCAGCTCAGTGCATCAACCCATATTATTATCCCTGATTTCAACCTGCATTCCCTTGCCACCAACCCCCTGATATCCATGCAAGCTTTTTAAAATGTCAGAGGTTTAAATGTCATTCATATCATTATTCAATATATTTTTCTATTATATAAACAGAATTGTACATTCTCATTTATTATCTTCAGTTTGAAGATATTCCACTCTACTATTTTCTCTATTATGTATCACAAAATGTATTGAAAGAATTTTTTAATCAGCTCTAAAAAGAAGTTTGACAGATCTTTTAAATTCTTTATTTATAATGAACATTGATTAATACACATTGTGAATCAAAATTTATTTAATTCTTTCATATTATTTCAATCATCTTTAAAGTTTATTCATTCTCTTGTCATCAAAATCATCTAATCATATTTCAAGAAAAATAATAAAAATATCTTTCAATCTCATTCAAAACTTTTTTAAAATCTCTATATAAACAAAATCAGCAGAAATTCTGTTATGATCATAAAAATTAACATTTAAAAAATTGAATCTATATAAATTTCTCAAATAAATTCAATTTTGAGATTGATTTGAATATATTAAATATATTTATATATTGTTTATATAATCAGATCTTTAAGAATCAATATCTTTTACTGACATTCAAATTCAAACACATCACAATTGAAATATGAATTGTTATAAACTGAGATTTCAAATCAAAGCTTATTTTTCTTTCATATGAAGTTTGAATGAATTTTTTATATTATATCAACATTTTATTTGAATTCAGCTATCTTCATTATGAGAGAATCCTTGAAAAAATTGAAATTATATATTGAATGAATAATGATGCATCTTATTATATCTCTAAACAGTAAAAAAATAAATAAAAAATATATGAATGAATTATGAAAAATGATCTGTACAATTCTCTGATTTAAATTCAATTGAAAATCTTTAAATGATTATGAAGTGCTGTGTTTCAAAGATAAAATATGAAATATACTCTACAGAGCAGATGAGAAATAAATTACAGAAAATATGAAATTTTATAAAACCAATATCATAATAAATGAAAATAGTAATTACTGTCAAGAAAAATATAATTAAATATTAAGAAAAATATTATGTATAATTAAGTTTCTATATTCTATTCTATATAATACTTTACTGTCAGAGCTATATCTAATATATTGGTTGAGATATTTGAAATAATAGAGTATTGCAATATTTTTGATTGATGCAAAAATGCATTAATATATATATAATTATCTCCCTCCACTGTACATAATAGATAAAAGAGGTGAATGTGAAGCATGTGTTAAACTGAATAACACCCTTGAACATCAACATCATTGAAGTTCTCAAGATGAAACTAGCTCCTGCAGAATAGTAGCACAATCAATTAATTCTCATGAATATTAAAAGTTAATTCTCATGAGTATTAAAAGTTAATAATATATCTGCAGTGAGTGAGTGTTAGGGCATAGACAGGCACTTAATCAAACCACTCAGATTCAAAGATATCATACATACATACATACATAAGAAACAACAGCTGCTGCTGTTGTTTGAAGTCTGAACTCTCAATTATATATAGTTAAGCTTTTCAATGTATATAAGCCCTTCTGATTTTTGCGTGCAGCACAACACTTAGCAGCAGCTACATAGATCACTGCACAGTATAGAGCAGCAAGCATCAATAACAATATGTGATCTTCAACAAACTTCTCATGTCAAAATTGATTGGTGGGTGGGGGATGAGATTAAACATCACAATATATATATATATATGCATTCCCCCCCTCAAAGTCTTGTATTTCAATTCAGCTAACAATCAATGTATGGAAATGAAAATGTGTATTTATTGTGTCTACATTAGTTATCTAATACTATCTCATTAACTAGGATTAACTAACTATATTATATGAATGCAATTGAGATTTTATCATCGACATTATCATGTTGCATTCCACTTCACTTGATTTCAATGGGTAATGATTTCAATTTAGAGTATAAGCTGTCATCAAAACCTTCTATACATATTACTCCATCCACATCTATTAAAGAAAATGAATGTGCCAGTCTCTATTCTGTGCTACCCACCAACTTCATTGCTTTCCCACTTGCTTTCCCACTTGGTTTGTAACACCACATGGGTTTATTGTACACATAGTCGCCTATGGATGTCCATTAAACAAATGTTGGTTGAAAGAAATGCATCATGATTTTTCAAGATAAATAGCTCCTCAAAGCCGGTACGTAGCTGCATGCCTTGCGGTTTTGATTGGGAGTATACTTTGCAGGGAAATCGTGACAGGCTTCAAGGCGTCGTGGAAGCGTTTTAAGGGAACTGAGCAGGGACTGTGATGTCAGGTGCAAGGACCGTCCCAACAGTAGAATCAACCAGGTGGGATGTCAGGGCGAAAGGCAGGGACATGGGCCGGATGGCTTTCAGTCCCACCACAAACTTGGTTTCCACTACTGGTGTAGTCAGAAAAATGCGGCGGTGCTAGAGACGTCTCTGATAATTGTAAACCTTCCGAAGGATGGCAGGTATCACCATTGGCTTTTGCTAACACGGTTTCTGCGCCCGTAGTAATACAGTATCCTCTCATGAGGCATTCATCCATTAAAGCTTCGGGTCCGTCCCTCACAGCTAATCCGATGGCAAGAACGAGCGCAAAAGAAAATCTGGCCCATGCTTCAAAGTGTTTCTTAGAAGTGAGTTTTGTAGTAATAGGTGAGTGAGGGTTTTCCGTGTAAAATCTGGGAGAGTTACCGGTTAATACTGCCAAGTCGTTGGGCGGCGCTGTCGTGGTGTGTTTGGCTAGTGTTCCTTCAACATGTGAAGCAGGATAACACGTTCCAGAATTGAAGGAGCTGGCCAGGCTTCGGGGGTTGACAGTGGAGGTCATGCCCTCATTACTGTGGTAAGTGATTCGACACTGGCGGCTGTTTTCGAGCCATTGATCTCTTGGTTGACCACCTAGGAACAGACCCAGGACCCACCAAGACAATTTCCCCAGCCGGCCGTAGTTCGCATGCCACGCCCTTGCAATAATTCGCCGAACCAAGATTCCAGAATTTGGGACAACATCCCAAACATAGCAGTAGAAAGACATTATGGATTTGCATGCTACTGAACAAGTCTTGTGGAGCTTTGATACACATGGATCGAATATCACTATAGGGTTGATTTCGCTGTCAATTTCGTGATGGGTTTGGGTTTCTAGATGCGTTGACGAGTTACTTTGGCGAAATCCCTTCTCTAGCATGCAGGGTGTCTTTTGTTTGAGCGGCTCGATCTGTTCTTGAGTATCATACGCAGCGGATTCGACCAGGGTACTTGGATTGACATCATCAAAAAAGATGCGAGAGGATGATCCTATAGTCGAGCGACCTTCCAGGCCAGTTTCCAGAGGCGTCAGACCCATAGAGATGCTCGCGTCATTGATGGCTTCATCAAAAGTTTGATATCCATGTGATCGTCCCTCAAGAGCATGTAGAGCATCATGATCTATCCAGGGCGAGCTAGGAGAGTCATGAGCACTAGTAGGGCGCAAATGAAAGGGAGATATTGGATCATTGGAGAAAGAATGTCGGTGTATTTGGCCAGCGGGTATATGTGGAGAAGCGGCAGGTAGTATGAGTGGTTTCAATGTGCATGAGCCTGGTGGGAACCGCCTCATCCTCCTGTGACGGTTGGAGCATTTCCCTTGAGCCTCAGGTGATAGCGGAAAAGAAGTTCCCCAAAGGGATGGATTCGACGAATGGGAAATCATCGATAAACGTTGCGATTCAGGAGCGCGGGTAGATTGAGGGGAACAGGAGTCTCCAACCCCAGAATCGAGAGACATCAGTTCGGCATCATCAGTATCTTCGCATTTTTGTGGTGACAAAACATTTGGGCGATCAGCTGGGAAGCAAACAGGAGGATCCGGTGTGGCATTTGAGATCGGTACCGAAAGGGGTTGGAAGAGTGCTTTTCGAACGGGAGACAACGGAATCTTAGAAAACATAGATCGAGGCCTTGGAGTATGATATACACCATCAGCTTGTGGAGAAGGTTCGCCCACATTCAAACCCGGTGATGACTCTCTCCTCGTTGGTGATTGAGCCAACAACTCTGTTAATACGTCAATCCTTCGCTCCAGACTACGATTCGTCGCATTGACCGCTTCCATACTCTGTAACATTTGGTTCACCATTTCGATTTCCCATTCCTGTTCACGAATCTTATTCTCCTTAATTTCGATATCTCTCTCTAATGCGCGAATTTTGGCACGAAAATCGGATTCCTTGTCGATCGTTTTTCGTAATTCGTCTCTTAATCGAGTTTCGAATTTTGTTTCCCATTCTAGCAGTTCCTGTTTTAATATTTTATATTCTGCATTGAGACCTTTGAATTTCGCTGCTTGAGTATTCGCAGTAGATGAATTTAGCGATTCCACACGATCTAACGACGCGGCGAGTTGCTGTTCTAGATGTTCTATGTACCTACAAAGCTCGAGGTCTGCATTCCTCTTTGTGAGATTCGGTCGCCCCTTGGAGCGGTCAAGGCCACCGAAGGATGATGACCTCGACGATGATTTCCTCGATTCCGCTGGCATATCTGGATCGTCGTAAGCAAAAGTGTCTAGATTAATTGGAGGCCCTAATTGTCCGGTATACTTCGAAGGAGAATAAATAGGGAAGTCATTGGTAGATGTAGATGGATCTGGCGAAGGCAGATCATGGAACAAGGAAGCTGCCGGTGGCCGTCGAGACTGGTGATACCGTCTCTGTGTAGAGTTGTTGATTTCTTCAAGGATGCTCGAGCGGCGCGTGTGTGACGATGTCAGCCCTGGGGAATTCCGGCTTCGATCGATGCTGCTAGTATCATCATCCTGTTTCTCTAGTTGTTGGTCAGAACTCCCCGAAAGCGATCGCCATTTAGTGAGAGGGAGTGTTAGTTTTCGTGACTGGAGTAATGCGCCACGAAAACCTGCGTTTCGAAGTTGGAGTCGTCGATTCTGGGCGCTACAAGGCTTTTCTAGTTGGTGTTGGGATGGGGAAACGGATGAAAGGCGGGTGGAGTGGAAGCTGCTGGCAGCGCAGGAGGACGGTGGTCGTGAGGTCGTGTTGCTATTATTGGAGCCTGCATTCGATGCCCACGGTGACAGGGAGCGCTCCGTGGTGGGTAAAACATGAACATCCATAACAGAAGCCTGGCAAAAGCACAAGAGAAAATATTAATTTGGGCACGAGCTCCATCACCAGCCAGGGAGCGCCAAACAAATGCCCAAGAACCGCAAAAAAAGTGGAATGGACCGAGGAATAATGGGCGGAGCGCACACCCCGAGGTGATGAAATATTGTTCCGGGGTAATTTTGCATGGGATGCGGAAGAGGGCAACCCCCCGCTATTTCCAGAAAACTCTGTTCACTGTGTGTTCATCATGTTCAGCTGGGACGAGGTGAAATACGATTAAAGGTGCCCTCCTATGACTCCAGAATGCGCAATTGAAGATCAGGTAGTTGGTTGGGTTCGGTTCTTGCAAGAAACTCGCAGCCGAATGTTTGTTTACATTGACCCCCGAAGGTTTGTTTTTACCTTTTGGACTTGGCAACAGCCGGGTTGACAATCACATGATCGTGATCAGCTTCCAAGGTTCACTTTCGGTAATGAACCAGGTTGGGTCTTGGTACAGAGTAGGAGCCGCTGGTATGGTAAAAGAGTGATTTTCTGGCAAACTGACAAAATAAACAAAACAAATACAATCCTATCCTATCCTATCCTATCCTATTCTGGGGTTGACATGAAGATGACAAAATAGGGAACTTATATTGAACCTGTTGTTCTTTGGAATCTTTGGCCTGAGCCCTCCAATTTGGCAACATGCCTGAGATTGGGCCATAGTGTTGGGTATATTTGGCATAAAGTAGGGGGAAGCCAGGAGCAGCCATTTGTCAATGTGATGAATGGGGAGGAATGAAAAAAAAAAAAGATGGGAGTTGGTGGAGGAGATAATAAATAAAAGTGGAAAGATAGTTATTGGGTTCACCATCAATCTGCCTCTTCCAGCACACAGTTCATGATTAACCTGGCAGCGAAAATTGTTCATATTGAAAAAAAATAATAGGAAGATTCGGGAGAAGATCGGCAGACTCCGGCGAGCTATCATTATGGAAAAGTACATTATTTATATGGGGAGGAATGATAAATTGAATTTACAACGCTCTAGCTGCTTCTCCTGCACCACTTTCCACAGCAGTTGCTTGTTCTGCCTTCATCTTTCCTCGACCAACACCACCTTCACCCACACCCATTCTCCGCGCGACGTACCGTTGTGCAATGACGCCAACACCAAGAGACAGAGTTTCCTCTATCCACTCTGCAACCCATTCACGAGGGTCAACGGCGTTGCTCTCAATGATTTCCGCAATCGCTTCTGGAACGGTGGAACGGACAACACCGTCGGGGTTGTCGTCTGGATTATGTGGGGCGACGGGGGCATCAAGCCAGTCAATCCACTTCTGTGGAACGGCCTGTGTAACGGCATGGAAAGCAATGCTGTGGATAGGGTCGTGAAGATAAATTGCGAAGAAAACCTCCTCTTCAAGATCATCTTTTACATCCACGACATTCTGAGCCATTTTCTCTTCGTCTCCGCTGGGGCCTGATTGGAAGAGGTCTGGTGGTGTGGGCTGAGAAATCGCCTGGATGGCAAGGAATATGTCACTGGTACGAACGGGGTTCGACTCTGATAGAATTTCAGACGCTTGTTTTGCGGCTTCCTCAACGCCACCTCTCGTAGAAAAGTATTCTGCGGCATAAGCTTCTGCACTTGCTCGGGCAAGCTTTGTACCAACCGTTGCACCCTTGATAGCCGAAATAGATCGCGGTTTTCCTGCAGACACCGTCCGCCACCACGGTCCATCGTTCCAGCCAGCTGAAGAGCTGTGTCCGATGTGAGAACCTGAGCCACGTTTGGGTGCGGATTCCCGACCGCGTTGGATGACGAGCAGATCACCTCCTTCGACCTGGGACATTACCCGAGAGAAGACTGAATAAATTAATGGATCGAGCGAGGGGTAGTCTGAGAGGTCATGTGTGATGTGAATTTGGAGCCGCTCATGAGAGGAAATAGGAGGAGCTAGAGTATGGAGGAGGGAGGTAAATGTGGGCATGGCTAGGGTTCGTAGCTCGCCACCTCAAAATTAACTCAGCTCATCAGAACAGGTGATTGCAAGATGATGCTTAGAGGTTTGGGGGCGGGCCGGGATTCTGCTGTCGACTTACCAAGACCTCGAAGGGCTCCAACATTGCCTTTAACTTGATAAGCCCACTTTTGAGCTTCCTCGTTTTTTCTGATTTCATTTACGGCAGCCTCTGCATGCTTCACAGCAGCTGAAGCGGTAGCAAATATCCCACCCCACCAGCCACCTCCACCTCCAGCGTTGGTCTTACCTGCTTCCTCCGACGGAGGTGTATCCCCTGCCTCCGACGAAGTTGTCTCTGGAGGAGTAATGCTGGTATGATATGCCCGGGAGCTATCTCCTGATTTCCTGGGAGCGCTTTTATCGTCACTGAATCTTCCCGGAGGTGGTGTCGTCACAGATGTTCGTTTAGGAGATCTGTTTGAAGTAGACGAAATTCGGGGCGTTGGAGGTCTTTGAGAAGCAAGGTCTTGAAGCTCAGCTAATAGGTCCTGCTCTGATTTTTCTTGCACTCCCCCCGCTGCCTGGGTGGCTCCATCATCGACACCAAGGTCATCGAACTGAGCAAGCAGTTCGTCATTTGTAGGGGCTTGCTTTCCTGTCTTCGACATAGTGTGCTACTATCAATTGAGGGCTGGTTCGAAAGCTGGTTGCTACGGAGAAGTGGTGGGTAGTTTTGGCGGAGATACTAACAAGACAATAATGGATCCCGCCCCATGAATCAAGTCCTTTTCTAACAAACAACAGTTGAAGGAGAAATGGGTTTAAAGATGCTCAAGCGTTTGAACGATGTCGTGAGAGCGCCAAGATAGCGCTAGTCGAGTCACGTGTTGTTAAACCTAAGAGAACAGCAGTTCCTTCCTTCCGTGTAGTGGGTCCTTTCTTCTTGGCGAATCCTTCGAGCTGTATATCCTTACAACCTCTTTCCTTATGAGGCCCTGTTCTCCTTCCTTCTGAGGTCTTGCTTATTGTTTTGTTTGTTTTTTTTTTTTTTTTCCCTTTTCTGTCTCTTTAAGAAGAAGGATTCCCTTATTTTTCTTTTTCTTTTGTTTTGAGGAAGAAGATAGCGGTAACTAGTATCAAAAAGCTAGCCATAAGATTGTTCAATTTTGCCCTTAATCCTTAACTATTCCATCCTAAGCTAATCCTTAAGACTTGCGAAGCCTGGAGGGCTTACGTAAAGATCCCTTACAGAGCCGTGAGGCTCGTTCTGTTTCTACCTAGTAAGGTTGTTCATGCTAACGGGCCACGAGATGCTGTGTTGCCCCAACCACCACATGTATGATGGCTTGTGAGCAACTTGGGTCCAGTCAAGTTTCTATAAATATCCAAGCGTATTATCTAGTTAGTCCTGCATGCCATTTTGCTGCAATTTGTACCCGCAGGATAATGAGTGCTGGAGGCAAGCAAAAGTCCAAAAAACAAAATTTAGTCGCATTAAAATACCATGTAGGCACCTAATGATAAATCCTTCTAGAGTAAATTTCGACCCGGGGAAGGGATCGTTTATACATGTGATTTTGAGAATTTTATTGTGTAGAAAAATTTCCGGTCTTCCTTTTTCAAAGGTTCATGAATTGCAGTGGCATATAAAATGGATATAAATTATACACGCTGTTGCCATGTTGCGCGTTGTTGATAAGATGAACTTTCGATAACTGAAGACGAACCGGAAGATCCCGGCGGGGTAATTCGCAAAAGGCGTTATTATCTAGGATTTTATTCCACGACCAGTTATCAAAAGTTGCGAGCCGAATGGCGTACCGAATTATCGTGTATCTCCAGGGTTTGTAATACTAGTACTCTGATGTTCATTGATATTCCTTCGCTTTTCTACATTGATCCCATCGGTCCCCGCTCATTCAATACCCCTCCACCCCGTAATCGTCAACATGCGCCTCTCATATGTTTCTAACCTCCCCGCAACATCGAACGAAGAGGATGAAGCCATCCTCCAGCGCGTACAAGCCAGGCGGGGACAACGGGGCCTCCTCCCCCTTGACCTAGCACTTCTTCATTCATTCCCCATTGCCGATGGCTGGAATTCATTTCTGGGTGCTATCCGCACCAAAACCTCTCTTTCCGCAGACATTCGCGAGATCGTAATATGTCGCGTTGCCGCTATGAACGAAGCTTGGTTTGAGTGGAAGAGTCATGCTCCCATATTAACACAGGCCGGCTTCTCTGAGGATGGGCTAAAACTTGTGGAGCGCGGAGCGGAAAACCCAGCGACTGACACCGAATTGGCGGCGCTGATGTCCCCGAAACAAATTGCTGTTTACAAGTACACGGAGGAAATGACAAAGACCGTTAGGGTATCTGACAAGGTGTTTGAGGAGTTGAGGAGGCATTTCAGTGAGAAGGAGGTGGTTGAGATCACGGCTACGGTTGGGGCGTATAATTGTGTGAGTAGGTTTTTGGTTGCGTTAGATGTTGGGGAGATGAATCGATGAACAGGTACGAATGTATTAAATATATGGGTGTCATAGTGGCAGTGGCATATTTAAGCTAACTCTGAATGGTTTGTAGACTTGATTATAGGTCCGGATTAGATGAGCTGTCAATGGTAAAGAATGGATGTAAGACATGATTAGTGATAGTGTCACAGACTTGCATACGCTAGGTTTCCTCTTGATTGAAAATATAATTTACATCGGGCATTTTGCCATCTGATATGGGATACAATTTTAAAATCAACATAGGACATAAAAATGAGTGTTCTTTTATAATAGTGTTGAGGTGGAATATGGTGTGGATGACTTGAGAGGGGACTTGGACCTCAATATATAAGTTGGAACCAAGATTAACTAAAACTTGGAATTTCCCGCTGAAAGACGCGTTTAAGATTTTGAGGGATATGAAAAATCACCTCCATTCCGAGAATAGATGTCCTCTAGACTAATGGGGTACGTAGTCGGCAGGGTGGTTCCAGCATTGGAACCATTCTGTGATGGAGGTGTATACCTAGTAGCACTCTTTACTATTCAGGCGTGAAGGTCACATAGTACTATTGGGCATCCGGGCTGCCAACATCCTGAAAGTCTGAGTGTTTCTCATCCATCCTACCCCAGACCATGCGGACAATAATGAAGCACAGATGAAACGTATATTCTTTTTTGTACGAGAATCATCAATGTTTGTGATATCACCAAGACTTTATATGCCAGCGGTCTTCATAGATTGAATGGATGGAATCTTACTATTAAAATTAGAAAATTGAAAATATTCACCCTATCCTAAAAATAGCCTTGTTTTCATGCAGCGTTTGCAAGGACCTTTGTTCCATGTTTTCATACTAACTATACTCTTCACCTTCCAATAGAAAGAAAAGAAGATATTCGATATTTTTTTGATAGCAGAGCTAACTTCATCTGGTGGCGATGGAATTTGTTTATTTTCCGAATGTCCAGTAATTATTCAAGGTGGTTCTACGGTACTGAACGTTACAAAACTTCTCGGTACAGAGTGCCTTGTTGGCTAGTTACTGTTATTGAGTATTTATCCCCTCGTCTGGCCGCTAGGACACAATTAGCGTATTTTTTAGTATGTACATTAGTGTATTAAATACATGGAAACTACTGGATAATATGAGGCATCAACTATATTGATATGTTTTAGTGTAATTTATGTAATCTATTTGATCTAGCCTTAATTAATATTATTAAAATGGAACTCCTTTCAACATTTTTTTTTCAAGCAGAGAGCAATATTGCTATATGCTATACAATCATATCTTGATCTTGGAGTTTTTCCTTTATTCCCTTCTTCTCTCTTTCTTTTATACTGACACCAGACATAAATTTGAAGAGATGGCAGGGAAATTTACTGATGATTTAGATTTATATTTAATTGAATAATAAATAGAGAATTTGAAAATTTAAGAAGTTGAAGATAAAGCTGCCAGCAGAATTCAACATGAGATATAGTAGTGTCAGTAATGTCAATAATAATCAGTTGATAAAGAATATAAGCATTGACAATAATATGATTGATAATTCAGTATAAAATTGATAATCAGATGTGATTGATAAGTATATGAGTTTTATAGAAAACTCTAAACTGATTTACTAGATCAATTCCATTTATATTATAATTATAATCATTATTAATGATAGAAATCTCCACTACTTTTTGTCAATTATTTTTTAAATATTCTCCAAATTTGAGATTCATTAATAAAAATCAATTTTAAGCATTTTTTGACACATTCAACAAAGCTGTTTGATAGATGAATTGTAGATAGTAGTAATACTATGTTATTATCTTTCTATTCAAAACAGAGAACTTCATTTTGAGAGATAATATACAGAATATTATAGAAAATATGAGTAGATAATTCAGAGTTTTTCAACTTTTATAGAAAAGGGGACAGATTAACAGAATGAATAATTTCATATATTTCAATTTTATACTTTCAAAGATAATGAAATAAAGCAACAGAGGTGAAGTAATTGTTCATATAAATTGAATAGTCAGCTATCTCTTTACTGTTATTCAATTTCAACTGTTATTTGATGTTTTGCTGTTTAGTGCTTTGCTGCTCAGTGCTCTGCTGCTCAATACTCTGTTATTTGATGCTCTGCTGCTCAATACTCTGCAAGAATATTGACAGCTGTTCAATTAATTTCACCGCAAGAGATTCAGTTTTGATTAATTCTGAAATATGAAACATTGTATTTATATAGAGATTATTATGAGACATGAAAAAGATTTAAAGATAATCTTATTCTTCTAATTTAAAAATTTTATATCTCTACTTGATTGATTTTTAAGATATTTTAATTGTGTATTTAAATTGTTTAAAGAATTGAATCATCATTTCATTAATAAAACGATTTGAATCTGAATTGTAGTGTTTTTAATATACTGTATGAAAGCTGAAGTATAAAGACTTTAATTTTTATATAAAAGAGAAAAAGAATTCTGATCTGTGAGAATTGGATATATGAATATATTTTTTAAACTGCCTAAATTATTTTTATTTCATATAAAATTTTAATGAATGAACCAGTTCTTGAATATCATTTCTATTTCAATAATCTTCAATTACTGAAGATTTATATACTCTCATATAAATAATCTGTTTAAAAAATAGTTTGATTTTTACAGAAGTAATTGAATGTCAATTCTGTAAATTGATAATTGAATTTTTTAATATCTGCATCTCTGCATAAACATTGATGAAATAGATAATATTCTGAATATCACATTCTGAAATATAGAGAGAGAATAAGATGTATGAATTTTGTAAATCAATATCATTAAATAAATTGACAACTGAAGAATGATGAGAAGATTTCATAAGTTTGAATTTAATACTTTTTAGAGATGAAATGTCTGCAAGAAAGTCACTGACAGATTGCTTTCATTTTACATTTGTTTTTATACTAACTCATAAAAAATATCAGTCAATCAATTAAAAAAAGCATTAAAAAATTGGAAATTATCTGTAGAAATCATATTTCTATTTCAGAGTGGATAGTGGTTGCATCTGCAGTGGATATGAGAAGATTTCAAGGTTGCAGAATGTATAGAGCAGAAAATGTGAGATAATGAAGTGGTATCAACAAATCAAATTACATAGAATTTAGTATGAGAAATTATTGATTGGCACTTCAGAGCTAACAGCTTAGTTGTTACACTAATAGTATTGCACTAATTGTATCCTAGTGGCCAGACGAGGGGATACCATGTATTCAATAAAATTGTAGAACAAAACACGTAAATGATGAGTAGGTGAGGCAAAGTCATGAAGAAGTGAAGCACGCACTCATCGCCATTTTCCCATAACATTATTTGTGCAAAATCAACTCAAGCAAACGACGAGGAGAAAAGGAAAAAATACGGTATTGGAGCTTTTACGGACTCGATAAATAGGATTCCTCGCCTCTGATTGGGCACGATGGTCACTGCAGGCAACGTGACATGGCCCATAATCGTAGTAGATCAAACTCTAACGCCCAGGATGCAGAAATCTTACTACTGATGAGATCAAAGTCCATACTGGCAGAGAACAACATTAAGGTGTTCTAATCATATGGAAATAATCTGTGCTTTGAGAGCTGCCGACCGGTGACCCGTATCTTACATTCTATTCTGTTATTGTTCTAATACTTCCTTCTGTGATCGGACTACACAGGCGGACTGAGTTCCTCCTTCACAAAAATCGGCCATCGCCACCTGCCCACACGCTCAGCGCCTAGTTATCGATTCTTTCTTTTCTCTTCTTCCTTTCCTTCCATTTCTCTTCCATTAATTATTACTTTTAATATAAACTCGTTTCCTGGCGGATATTTATTTCACGAGCTCCAGCATTCACAATTTGGCGGCTCATGCACGAATCCACCCAAACAAAACTCGACCATTCGTTCCATTCTCGTCTCTTCGTTGTCGCAACCCTTTGATACAAGTTTCCGATGCATTATTGATGAGGCTCCTAGCAATTGCTAATATTAAAATCGGTTTCATCAGCAACTCGGGTACGATAGTATTTTTCTTTTCTATATTTTTCTTTTAATTTCTTTTTCTTTTATTTATTTAATTTATTTTTCTTTCATTTCTCCTCATCTGCAGTCGTTTTGATGATACATGCATACTTATCCGGGGGACAACCGCAAGTTTTCCTGCAGAACTCCCCAACCATCTTAGTTCTACCCATGTTTAAAATCAACTGCATTTCGACAATATGACGACTTGTCGCTTTGCTCTTCTGATTTTGTCCGTCGCTCTTGTTTGTCTTGGTTTTACAAGTTCGCTTTTGTACAAGATCATTTTCTGCTTTGAAAATTTGTTATGTGATTCTGCCACGTTATTTTACAATAAGTTTCCCATTTTGTCATTGGCAGTGGTACTTGAGAATGAATACTGAGTTTCCCGATAGATAGGCACTTCTGTCATCATGTCATTTTTGGCTCAGGATGATATAAACATTGGTGCTGAAGGTGCTGAAGCGCCGAAATCTCCTTCATGTTCTTTTCGCTGGCAGCACTCGGATCCCCCAAGACCCTCGTCTGCTTCCATTCAATTCACTCCGGCTGTCAACAGCCGTTCATCTCTAAAATGCGTCTGGTGCGGTGAATTATTTCAGTCATCCGATGAGCCCACCACTTTGCCTGCTGAGGTGCTTAGAGAGCACATAGCTATCGCCCATCCTGAAGTTGCCAAACTTTCTCTGGTTGAGCAAGATGCCACAGATGAGACGCCTCCCACTGAATCTGTCCTAGATGAGGCTGAACAAACCAACCGTATCGAAGCATTTGCCCGCCAACGTGAGGCGGCAATTGTTGAAAGGCGCCTTGATTTGCTTTGGAATATCAATGCTGTAGAAAAGTTCACTGACGACTATGATGGAGAGGAAGAGGGTCTTCCATCATTTTGGAAAACTGCATTTGGCGATTTTGAACGCCCAAAGCCATATGAGCAAGAGACTGTAGCGAAGGGGAAGTTTCTACCAATCACGAAAGCTGAGATTTACATCGACATTTTGAAGGAACCAGAGTCACACACCACAGAAGAGCTTTACGCGATAACCGCGAATACGGCCCTAGCTCTCAGGGTGTGGCAGGATGAATACGTAGCCATTGACAAACTATCGAAACGTGCCACACGACGTTCATTGAAAAAGGTTGCGAATCCACGAAAGCTAGAAGAACCGCTTGTTTTTGAAGATAAAAAGGAAGCAATGCTATATGGATACAAACACGACCCCCGGGAATCAAAAATAGGATACCAGGACCCATTTCTTCAGGGAGGCTTCAAACCAACGCCAGCACAACTGAAAAGACTGAAACTCAACGCTGCAGAGTCTCCTAATATCGATGGTTGGACTCCAATTAAAATCAACGGTGTCGAGTATATTCCTGGAATCCGCCCGCCGTCCAAACCCGCTCCCAAGAAAAAACCCGTAGAAGTGGATACAGCAGATACCAGCGGTATTTCGAATGGTGTTGATCGTGAAGTGGATGGCCGTCCAAAGCGCATAACTCGGTTTGGTGGCTTCCGGCATCCTTTAACTCGAGAAACCTCCCAGGTTCAAACTGAACCGTCAAGCCCTGTCTCTGGGCCTACATCTGCGAAAGTTAAACGGTCAAAGTCACGCGCGACTTCAACGACGCCTCAACCGCCTTCACAACCCATTTCTCTGAAACCCTCTACGCCTACCACCCGCCCGATTCCACCCGTGAGATCATTAACAGTGAAGTTAGCAACGTCTGGGGCCCCAGCGATAACTACTCGGCCTGTAACACCCACCGCCACCGCCACCGTCCCTTCAAAACCACCAGTTACTGGGGAACGTGCTCCTACACCCCTTTACGAAGATCCACTCCTAGACCCCAAGAATCAACTTAAGATCCAACAGTCCAAGAATCCAAAGCGAACAGAGGCAATGATAATCCACTGGGCAAAATTTAACCATGAAGGCCGAACAAGAAATCCAAAGCGAACCAAAGCGCAAATGGAGGCAGATAAAGCTGAGGCAGAAAAGCAAGGGGGTGTCAAAGCTGGCCCTGGACGCAAGAGGAGGTCTATCTCGAAGAGTCGCGGAGCCGATAATCAAGATACTCCAGTTAAGAAGGCCAAACGCATTGCGAAAGGCACCCGAATACCCGTCACGCACGAAAAGGTTGAGCCACCAGAGCCTTACCACATTGTTCCACCACAATCTGAACTTCGGCGGCCTGAACATTTGATAAATCCATTAAGTGCCCCTACGCATCCGCAAGCCCGTTATAGCCCCTACGGTGGACAGGTGTATCAAATAAACTACCACCAGGGCAACCATCAATAGTTTAAACCTCTTTGTTTTTGACATCTTCTAAGCAATGTCGATTTCCAAAACATCGAAGACTAAAAATTGGGAAAATTAGGCCGGGGGTGATGTGTTCAGCGTTTCTGGCACCCACGGCGTTGGGAGCTTCGCTATTATCTTTCTGTGTATCATACCATATTGTCTCCCGTCAATATTGCTTGCTGTTTCCACTTGGACCTTTGGTTTCTTTGGTTTTTTTTCTTTTCGTTCAGGACCAATTTCTTATTAGCCATCCTTATGGTCTATGTATGTAAATAGTTGTTACCCCTTTCGGCTGCTGGATGCATTGATGGACGCACATCTCAGGAAGACTGGCCGTATGACCAGGACCAAGACTAAATCACAAAAACAAAATACCGCTGTTTATCTGTGTATTTATGATATTACATGAATTATTGTGATGGGCTCACCCCCCGAAAACTCACTCTTTCTCTTGCGCAACCAGCGTTTATTATCAACGCTAGCCTATCAACATTCAGCAGCCAATTCATGCACCGGTGCATCAACGATACCACATTTTTCCACCCCGAGATTCATCTTCATACAATATATTTTGTATAAATCATTTCTTACATTGTGTCATTATGTCTCTTTTCTGTCTTAATCAATTCATTCTTGTTTTGTATATCTAAATGGGTTAGAGCTGTGCGTTATATTAGAAAATTGATTGTCATAAATTATACACAACCTTATTATAGACTTAACTATTATATCTTATAATAATAAAATCAAGAGCTTTATTATAATAATTACAATTATAATCTAAGTATCTATAACTCAGACGAACTCGTTTTGCAGGTGGTAGTATCACGTGACTATAGTGTATTCCTGAATCGGCAAACCGTTTGACCCTTGACTTTTCCCATCAGAATCACAAAAACTATTATCCCTTTTTATAGCTTTTTCGACCTTTCTATAGGAATTTCCAAATAACGCATTTTTATCACCCTTTCATATTATTTGGCTCATCATCTAACATGGGTAAGAAGAAGCGTGGTCATCCGGACCTCGAGGAGCTCCTCAGTCGGCCCTGGTGCTATTACTGCGAGCGCGACTTCGACGACTTGAAAATTCTAATTTCTCACCAAAAAGCGAAACATTTCAAATGCGATCGATGCGGTAGGAGACTGAATACGGCTGGCGGTGAGGATTGTCCAACCTTGACTCTAGATCAGTGAACCGGCGACATCTTTGCTAACAATTATTGGAACCAGGTCTCTCTGTTCACATGAGCCAAGTCCATAAAGAGACATTAAGCGCTGTGGATAATGCTCTACCCAACCGGTCAAGTTTGGATATCGAGATATTTGGCATGGAAGGTGTCCCAGAAGATGTCTTGCAGGCTCATAATCAACGGGTCATGACTCAATATCAACAGGCTGAGGCGGAACGTCGTGCTGTGACTGGGAACCCCGCATCTGGAGCGCCAGGTGGTGGCAGTCAGCCTAAAAAACCTAAATTCGAAAGCCCTGCAGAATTGAAAAAAAGGCTTGCGGAACATAAGGCGAAGCTTGCGGAACAGGCGGCTGGAGGGAGCAGCGGTGATGAAACTCCTATTGGTGTTGGGCAGACAACTGCTGCTACATATGTGAGCATCTTCCGCGTATTTTCTAGCCAAATCCAATGTCTGAAACATTATCTTACACGCGTTGTAGGTTCCAACGACTCAGCATCCTACGAGCCAACAGCAGTTGAATGGCTCAAGTCAGCCGTATCATTACCCACAGCCCTATGGGCATACTGGCGCTGCTTATCAACAAGGTGCGACTTCGTTCCAGAAGCCACCAGATTACGCTTCTCCCACCTATGGTCAATACCCACCTACGGTACATCAGTACTCCACAACTCAGTTCAACCCTCCCCAAGTGTCACCTCAACATTACCCGCCCGCTACGTCGGCTTTGCCGCAGCGCCCGTTGGGTACAATACTCCACCAGTTAACAATTCAGCAGCAGCACGAACACTCCCGAACCCGAAACCCCTGCACAAAATAAGCCCCTTTTCCCTCTCGTCCTCCTAGTCTACTACTGCTCCTAGCCTTCCCCACGTCCAGTTTTGGAGCACCCCAAGTCAATGCTTTCCAGATGCAACAATTACACCATGGCCAACCTTCATATGGCTTAGAGCAATCCCAGAGTAGTCGAAGCCCTTCAGGACCTCATCTTGTTGGTGAACAACCCCCAACCTCAATCGACGACTTGATTTCAGGCGCGGCGAAGCAAGCGGAAGAAATGGCTGGTAAACCCCCAGCTACTACAGTGAAGCCAATTGACGGCGCCGGAGAGAAGCCAGCAAAGAAAGAGAAGGAAAAATCGAAGGCTACGAGAATGGTGTATTCTGATAACGAAATAAGCCCCGAGGAGAAAATGGCTCAGTTGCCTAGGTACGCATATCTTCCTGAACGGAAGGAGGAGACGGTCCTTGGGGACAACACTACTGCTGCAGTCGCGGGAATCAATACAGCTTCCGACCAATTGGTAAATCCACCCCAATAAAATAACTTCCCGCTTTCATTGTCTCCATCTATTCCAGATCCTGACGACCTTTTAAATGTGCTTCGATGTCAACCCGTCGCAACGGGCGGAATATATACTGGAGGAATGGTTGTAGCGTCTAGTTAAGTCCTTCGACACACCAAAATTCTACAAGACATGTATCCCTTAAATGCAGTGTCAGCATTGATCTTCAGCAACTGTGATGACCAGGCAGGTGCGAGTTTCTTAGAAGTCGGAACCGGGGTCAAATACAGCTGTTAACCTCTGACCTTTCAACCGGAGAAAGATATCGACTTCTCGTGGAGTCCTGCAAACCATAATACACCAAGCAAATGACATGGGAGATCTGGTCGGCGCTGGTGAGTCCGATTGCAAATCTTATTTAATGATTATCTTGTCGGTTGGAGGAGGGTTGCTTTCGAGCAAAATATGCGCAGCTAGGTTCATTCAAATGTTTTTTTTTTTTTTTTTTTTTTTTTTACTTAAACTTTTCTTTTTTTTTTTTTTTTTCCCCTTTCTTTCTTTATGCCGTTTAACTTCAGCATGTTTCATTTCGAGGACTTCAGAATGACCAACCAACCACTCATTTGGCAGAAAAAGCCGGAAACAAGGTTGGAGAAGTAGGGTTTACTTCTATGTTGAGTCAAAATAAAGGAAAATACGTCCCCTCGTCCCCGCGCCGTGATTAAAAGTGTTGAATGTAAGTTTCTTTTTTTACGATTGTCCTTGTAGAAACCAAATCTCCTCAGGTCGGGAAGGAAATAGAAAGGCCATGCAACACTATGGTTAGTCCTTATCAATTATGTCTTCTTTGAAGGTGCAAGGTTAGTTAATTGTAATTGTCCCACAGGCGGCGGGTGTGCAGGTGAGCGGCCGGGGGTTTCAAATTTTCGGCTGGAAAATCTTTGATGTGATTCAAACTCTCAACTATGATAGGATTCAAAGTTGAACGGAACTCGAAAAATTGCACACATAATTTTTGATCTCTGTTCAATATGGTGTGGCTAAAACTGCACACTCTGGTGTTTTAGTTGCGTGCTTCTCGGGGAGCTCTCTGCCGCGTATATTTCTTAAACTCTAATTCTCCAACTAACCCTCTCATCTAATCGCCAATTCTACAGAAGTGGCGTGAGTGTATTGATAATGTTGACAGTGAGTGTGTTTTAGTTGAGATGGAAATTCACTTGATAGATATTTTGAGCCCCATTCAACTGTTCATGTACTGTCTGTAAATAGTTTGTAAGATCTCTTGCCCCAGCCCTTGTGGGTGTTCCAGGAGATAGAAGAAAACCACTAGGTATTGATCACCCCTAAAGCCCTCTGAAAGGCACCTTGATTAAGAGGTGGAATAGTTAGCAATACTTTGATATAAGTATTCAGTTTAAATTCTTACTGTGAGCCAGAACTTTTTACAGGTTTTGCAGAGGGGTCATGCCAAGAGGCTGATTGATAAGCTAACTACATAAGTTCAGCATTCCTACTAACGTAATTCCCAAGCGAGCGAGCAGCCCAAGCGAGCGAGCAGCCAAATTCTTCCACCTACTAATTTACCTACTCATCCACTTCAACGCGCAATTATGCCACCAATTCGCTCTAAAGATGCTAGGAACTCTATAGAGATAGAGGGAAGACTTGAACTCGCGATAAATGCTATTAAAAAGCAGGAAATATCCTCTATTTCTGAAGCTGCACGCATCTTTAATGTGCCACGCTCTACACTTGGTCATAGACTCAGTGGTCGATCTTCACGGGTGAATTTACGCGCAAATTCACATAAATTAACTCCTGCTGAAGAGGATAAGCTTGTTCAATGGATCCTAGACCTAGCTTTACGAGGACTACCACCCCGGCCTGCATTTGTGGAGAATATGGCTAATCATCTTCTTGCCATACGGAAGCCTAGCCATACAAACCACCCTCCTCGCGTTGGCAAGAACTGGGTGTCAAATCTAGTGGCACGCCGTCCAGAGCTCCAATGCCGCTTCTCAAGACGCTATAACCATGATCGGGCCAAGTGTGAAGACCGCAGGATTGTGGAGGATTGGTTTAAGACCCTAGAGAGGGTAATGACTGAGCATGGGATTGTGTTTGAAGATATTTACAACTTTGATGAAGCTGGGTTTGCAATGGGGCTCTGTGCAACTACCAAGGTCATTACTAGTGCTGAGCACTACGGACGAGCAACTCTTATACAGCCTGTGAATCGTGAGTGGGTGACTGCAATTGAGTCAGTCAACGCGTCAGGATGGGCCCCTCCGCCGTATATTATCCTCAAAGGTCACAATATTCAGGAAGGCTGGTTTGACGGGCTGCCGGAAGGCTGGAGATTGGACGTTAGTCCTAATGGCTGGACCACAGATGAGATAGGAATCAAATGGCTTACACGGCTGTTTATTCCAGCTGCAAATCCACGCAGGGTTGGAACCCATATTCTTCTTATTCTGGACGGGCACGGCAGTCATCTTACTCCGGAATTTGACCAAATCTGCAGTGAGAATAAGATTATTCCTCTCTGCATGCCACCACATTCTTCACACCTTTTGCAGCCACTAGATGTGGGTGTTTTTGCACCTTTAAAGCGCGCGTACGGAACCCTAGTTGAACAGCGAATGCGGCTAGGATTCAACACCATTAAGAAGACAGATTTCCTAGATGCCTATCCTGCAGCACGTCGGGAAGCCTTCAAGGCTTCAAACATTCAAAGTGGGTTCAGGGCCACTGGAATAGTTCCATTGGATCCTCAATGCGTTGTTCAGCAGCTGAATATTCAACTCCGAACCCCTACTCCCCCAGCCAGCAGGTCAAGCAATTCAACGTCATCCTGGATCCTACAAACACCTAGTAACCCCCGGCAATTGCAGAAGCAGGTGAATAAGGTCAGAAATCTTATGGATCAGGATCAACCTCATGGGTTAGTGGAAGGCTTTGACCAAATAATCAAGGCCTGCGAATACGGGATGGTCAGCGCCATGGTTATGAAGAAGCAGTATGAGGATATTTTCAATGCAAATGAGAAAGAGAAGCAAAAACGCAAGAGGTCTACACGCAGGATCCCAAGTGCAGGGGGTCTAACTAGGAATGAAGCTCAGAATCTTATTATTCCTGCAGCTAAGCCCGTTGAACAGCCTGTTATTCAACATTCCGTACCTGCGGCCCCGGAGCCTAGACCCCGCATACGAGCGCCACAACGCTGCAGCAATTGCAATACTGTTGGGCATACAAGAATAAGATGTCCTCAACTTCATGTAATTTAATTTAATTTAATTAGTGGTTGGTGGGAGTAGATAATTTGATTTAAATTCTGGTTAGTTGAGATATGCTAGTTTTGCTGCTCGCTCGCTTGGGCTGCTCGCTCGCTTGGGAATTACGTTAGTTATCAGCTCCTCTGGAGCTATCAGAGTGCAAATGACATAAAATCAGTACAGGTACTTCTCCTCCCTCCAGCTCTCGCCTCCGCCACTCTTCCTTTATCATGCCCTGACTGGCGCCGAGCCATGCGGAAAGCTGCCCAATATGCCGATTACCGAAAGAACTCCGTTGCTTGTTGTCCTACTAGCTCCACCCCGCCGCCGATATCGTCATTCTACACTTCGTCGTGTTTGTACTCTCACCCTTGCTAGCATACTAGGTATCGCAGTGGTTCTTTTTCTTATCCCTTGCGCGGTCCTCCCTCGCGACCACGGATCAATATGGTCCTCTTGGCCCCACGGAAACGGCCTCAACTATACAACCTTGCAAGAGATCCTCCAGACCGTCCCAAGCCCAGAGAAGGCAAGGAATGGAGCAGATATTATACGTCGGGTCCACATTTAGCGGGCAAAAATCTGAGCCAAGGCCTTATGGACTCAGAAAAAATGGCAAGGAATATGGCCTTGAAACTAGCATCTCGTCATATGACATATACATCAACTACCCGGTCAGTCATAGATTGGCATTGATTGAAAAAAATAGGGAAAATATGACTGTGAAGTTTGAAGCCACTTTGAAAGAAGATATCTTGGCTAGGGATTCCACCACGGGCTTAAATGGTCGTATCCCTACTTTCCACGGGTACTCGGCAAGTGGGAATGTCACAGCCCGATATGTCTATGCCAACTTCGGAACGTATCATGATTTTGATGATCTGCTGAAAGCGAACGTAAGCCTCGAAGGGAAAATCGCCTTAGTGAAATACGGTGGTATCTTCCGTGGCTTGAAAGTGAAGCGTGCACAGGAGCTCGGGATGGTGGGCCTTGTTGTGTATTCCGACCCCCAGGCGGATGGCGATATAACTGAAGCAAACGGCTATAAGCCGTATCCGGAAGGCCCCGCTCGCAATCCTAGCGCGGTGGAGCGGGGTAGTGTGCAATTTTTAAGTTCGTCCCCTTCGAATCATGGTGTCTTTTTTTTTTTTTTTAGCTGCTAATCTGCCGAAGCCATTTCGCCCGGTGACCCAACGACCCCAGGATATGCTTCTACCCCGGGCTGTCCTCGCCAGAACCCGAATCACTCAATTCCGTCAATTCCCTCACTCCCAATATCGTTCAAAGATGCTATACCGCTTCTTAAAGCCCTCAATGGACATGGACCTGAAGCTTCCGATTTCAATGCGCACTGGCAAGGTGGCGGTCTTGGCCATAAAGGAGTAGATTACAATATTGGCCCAAGTCCAGAAAACGCTGTCCTGAATCTTTACAATGAGCAGGAGTACGTTACAACCCCAATCTGGAATGTAATCGGAGTCATCAAGGGCTCCATTCCAGATGAAGTCGTTATTATGGGTAATCACAGAGATGCGTGGATTGCAGGCGGGGCCGGGGATCCGAATAGCGGTTCCGCCGCTTTGAACGAAGTCATTCGCAGTTTTGGATATGCTATGAAGGCCGGTTGGAAACCCCTTCGTACCATCGTCTTTGCCAGTTGGGATGGCGAGGAATACGGTTTGATTGGCTCCACAGAATGGGTTGAGGAGAATCTTACCTGGCTCTCTAACTCCATAGTTGCGTACCTCAATGTCGACATGGCTACGAGTGGACATCATTTCACTGCACAAGCCAGCCCTTTATTAAAAAAAGCTATCTATGAGGCAACGGGCCTTGTCCTTTCCCCCAACCAGACCGTTAAAGGTCAGACTGTCCTTGACGTCTGGGGCGGCAAAATCTCCACGATGGGAAGCGGAAGTGATTTCACTGCGTTCCAGGATTTTGCCGGCATCGCCAGCCTCGATTACGGTTTTAGGTCGAGGGCTGGGGATGCGATATACCAGTATCATTCAAATTATGACAGTTTTGATTGGATGAATCGTTACGGCGACCCGAATTGGACATACCATGTTGCCGCTGCGAAAGTCTGGTCTTTAACAGCTGCGTACCTCGCAGAGAAACCTGTCTTGGGTTTGAACGCAACCGACTACGCCAATGGGTTAGCCACGTACTTAACTTCGGCGAAAGAGAAAGCAGCCACAGGATTCAGCTTCAAATCACTTGACGCCGCGATTGCGAAACTACGTAAAGCTGCAGTTGCTTTTGACGCATACACTGCATCACTGACAGCACAACTCGATGAAAATTTACCTTGGTGGCATTGGTGGAAGAAGATACGGCTTTTTTTCAAAATTCGCACTGCAAACGGCAAATATAAAAACCTGGAACGGAAATTCTTGCATCAGGATGGCCTAGATGGGCGAAATTGGTTCAAGCATGTTGTTTTTGCTCCGGGGCTGTGGACTGGATATTCCGGTGTGACATTTCCTGGCCTCGTCGAGAGCTTGGAGAGTGGTAATTTGGATAATGCTAAGGTACGGTGCTCACTTTTATTTTGACCAAACGGCATTATTATACGAAGATCAACATTTTGGTTTACTAGGGCTATATGCTAATATTTTTGTTGGCTGGGCATTTTAGAAATGGAGAGATATTATTAAGGAGAAAATTGACGAAGCCACGGCGTTGCTGATGTGATGATACTTTTCAATACAAAATAAGAGTAAAGCTTCAGGTTTAACAACTGGTACGAAAAGGCTCCAAACGTCACAACCGCGCCCCTTATTCGGCTTAAAATCGAATGGTTTTTGCCTCCAGGTTTTCAGTCCTTCACGATTGTATGACTTCTAATTTTGGTTCTGTTAATATGCTGTTGGTAAATTCCATCTCCAATACCCAATCCATTTACCTGGATACAAAACGGAAAACTGTTCGGTATCTGTCTGACTTTGATACCAGTATTGGCTAAAAACGAAAATATTGATGTTTTCTTGCAACTTTAAATTATTTGGATATCCCATATCCCGGCTATTTAGCAATATATGTCTGTTGCTATGATTTTTCAATTCGTTCTGTACTGATCATCTATGGACATCTAATTAAACGCACATACTTTTTGCATTAAATATACTCCAAATCAACACACGATGCCCTGTAGATCCTCCCGGGGCTGCTCTACTATATTTGAGGAAAAGGAAATTGGACAGTAAATGAAAGGTTGTCCATGTATAGAGTACATGTACCTTGGTTTAAACTTGTAAATGCATCAACCCAGCCATTCGTCTTATGGTTTAGTTCGGTTCGTTAAATTATATCGCTTGCACACAGGTGAGTATTCAGGCTTAGGACTGCTCTTATCGGCGGTCCAGTCTCGGAAGAATCACGTTAGTTGCTTTTCAGTTACTTTTTCGATTGGCCCCCCCGGGACGTGTTGGGATAGAATATCGCTTGGGCAGCCTTCAATCTGCACTTTCAGCAAACATGCCTCTCCGGTTTGAGAAGTCGCGAAAAATTGTCGATTACGAAGGGATCTTCCTGTCCATTCAGTCATCCTCTTGCCCGTTTCGGTGCCCACACCATGCCACCAGCCGGGTGTGATCGCCTTGCCGATTTGCGCTGACAAATGCTCTCTCTAACGGCTCTTCCTTTCTTCATGGTCTCGCGTTCTTCCCACGGCCCGGTTTCTCTTTAGCTACCACGATGGGAATGGAAAACCTCGCCTCTCTCTTCAGTTCCATTCGCATTTCTAAGTCCACTATCGTCGTCATCACCAGCGTCCCCGCTCTGATTAAGATGGTCATCCTCTTTCGACCAAAATACTGGTAGCGCACTTAAACTCGCGAGAAACGCCAAGGTCCACCAGGGCAAGATCATATACCCTTTCTTAACACCTAGAGAAAACGTTCCCCCGAGGGTTGCTGGACCTATCGCCTTTCCGACTGCAGATGCGCCCGTTGCAACCCCGTTCAAAGTCCCGAGAATACTCACGCTCTTGGCGGAGTTGGTTAGTAGGATTATGCAGCACGGGAATGCGAACACGACACAGGCAAGTTTAGAGCACATAAGTAGGAATGCTGCTATCTGGCGGGAAGCGTTGGACGGGAAAAGCACCGTAAAAGGCGCCAAGAAATAGGTTATTGGAAAAACCACCGAAACGACTTTTAGGCAGTTGAGGACGCCATAACGGTGAGCGGCGCGAGGGAATATGAAAAACTGGGTTAACATGCCAATTATGGCGTTGATAGTGTAGAGTATACCGATTTGTTGAGCGTCTGAGGTAAATTTAATAAGTACACAAGAGAAAATGACCGCGGTGGGGGGGGGGGGGGGAAAGAAAGAAAACAAATACACATACCAATGCCAAAACCTCCAGAAAACTTGAACGGAAGCTTCACGTCTGGATTGTTTTTGTAGTCCTGTAGCTTGTGGTTTAAAAATACGGGAAATACGGAGTCGAATGCCACAGTATGCATGGACATAGTGGAATAAGCCAACAAAACGAGATTTGACTGGGGGATCAGTATCTGTGACCATGACAAATTTGGAGTGTGTTTCTTTTGGCCTTCATCGCCTCCTTGCGTCCGAGTCGAGGGAGGAACGAGGAGCGGTGTCGTCTCATCTTCCTCGCTGACCAAGATGCCACGCGGGGTCTTCTGCTCCTTTCGCCTCGCGAAAGGCCTTGTGAGTATTTTCCCCAAAGCTAAGCCCCAATCCTGATGGCCCTTTTTCGATGCGAGGGTTTCCTAACTCAAGTAGATAAGTATCAACCATGTCACCCGGAAGTGAGCCAAGGAGGAAAGGAAGTGGAGAAACACGCACTTGAAGAAATAAAAGACCCGTAAATATCCCAATAATAAAGAAGACCGATACGGCCATGTTGGGTAGTGCATAGGGATACTTCTTGAAAAATGTGCTATCGCCAAATTGTTCCTTGTGTCGTCTAGCAGGGTTAGCCAAAGCCCCGCCGAATCCAGGGCCGAATATGCTGCCAATCGTCCACACCAGGGGCATTATGCTGAAGGCGCGCGGTTGCAGTTCCTTCTCCGGGACCAGTTCCGCGACAACGGTCCGGATGATGCCCACATTTCCATTTCCCAACCCAACACAGGCCCGTGCCAGAATGGCCATGGGTAACGAGGTTGAAAATCCAAACATCAAACTGAAGGTCATTGTGATGCAGAGCCCCGAAATGATGATGGGTCTTCGACCGATTCGATCAGATGCCGCACCCCACGCTACAGCTGTGAGCCCTTGGCAAACTGAAAATATTGCAGAGGTCAATCCGACCCATTTGGCGACTTCGTTGTCACTGACTCCGAAACTGCGTACCATTTCGGGCTGTATGGGGGTTTGGTAGGCGGTTATCAGATACAAGTCCCATGGTCATATAATAAAGGTGGTTGATTCGAAGGAAATAGTAGGGGTATGAACATATATAATAAACCCATGTAGAATACACGATCTGCAATTCGCAGTTCGCCATTCTCCATATTCTTTTTTGATTTGAGTTAAACTCAAAAGTAAACTCCTCCAAAATGCAGTAGGCTAAAAGGACGAAGGGAGCGTACATACAAGATATGGAAACACGGAGGTGAAAATAACTGGAAAGGTATAACACAGATCAACATCTCAACTCCATAGCTTTGCAAGTATTCCTCCCATTAAATCAACACAAAGCAATATAGATGCCTTCTTCTAAGGGAAGAGGGGTAGGGACAATACCAGGCTCTGCGAATCGACAAATTGCTACAACGAAGTTCAGTTAGTTATTTGTTTGGTATTTAATTATATGATAGGACCATCTTTTCTGCATGAATTTATTATATGCTGACATACACAATACTATAAATTGTTGCACTGGCAGTTTCGGCTTTTGTGTTTTGGTATCCATGATGTCTGATTAGACAATTAAATAATGATAATAGTTGTGCCGTGCATTTGGCAAATCCAAAAAAGTGCTGTAAGCGTGAATTTTTACAGTTCCGCTTTTTTTAGATTTGGGATGAATCGCATTGAAAAGATATCAATGGATGTTTTTAACGTTAAGCGTTCGCCCGTCCATGGGAGAGGAAATAGAAACGAGGGGGAAAGCGACCACAGTGAGGTTGAAAGGTTGAAAGGTTGAAACAGGATGATAAAAAGGCTGAAACTCGGAAACGATCGAAGACCCAGGGAATAGGAGAAAGTGATTTGTAAGAGTTTAAGAGTTAAGAGTCATAGCTAACTAACTAACCCCATGCCAGCGTGCATGCTATGGTTCGGCTTTAGTTGATGCTCTTTTGCTTGCTTGCTTGCATATTCCTGCCAAGCCGGGTTGGATCTTTGATACCGGTGCTCCACCGGAATTTTATGAGAGAATAACCGAGTCGTTCCTGTCCAGCATGATGGATGTATTCCCTTTCTCAAGAATGATGATTTCAGGTGCCATATATTCGGTCTTAGGGTGGGTGACCTATCATTTTTCTATTTAAAAAGGGTGTATTAGTTGTAATGTCTCCCCTATGGATTATAAGTGCCTCATCCAAATAAATGGCTTTTCGTCGCCCCCCCGATGTATCATCTCTTCTCTCTTGAATGTGGGGGGGTGGGATGGCGTAGTGGTAAGCGCTGTTCATGGAACGCTTCTCAAGCAGGCACTTGGTGCTGGGGCCACCACTGCTGAGTGACAAGGGACTGCTCAGTATTGAAGAACAACAACAACAAATATCCCTCTTGAATGTTCGCTCCAGTCTCTGACATATATGACGCTGTACTTCCATAGACCATAGTTAATTTAATCATATCATTCACATTTCACCATATTTCCTGTATGTAATTACTACAGGACTATGACAATCCCCGAGTTTCTTCATTATGGCACTTGCAAGTGTTGATGTTTAAAAGGGCTGGATAATATTTCCATGCGAAAGTATTCCTACCAGCGGCCTCCACGCAGCAGCTTTCCACCACTTGATCTTCCAATTCTCACACTACATATCTGACCCTTGAGGATATCGCGAGCTGGTGAGACACAAACCTACAAATTATTGAATGTTTGACCTGGAATATATTTCTAATGAAGGTTTCCTTTGTTTTAGAAGGATAATAACGTTCAGGCCTGCTTAAAGAGCTCTGGAGATGCACAAACCAAACGCTTCGCTGTTATAGGCTTCCCTACAATCCATGGCATTGGGTTCAAACATGCTAGGTGTTGGGTCAGATTTTGGCCATGGATCTACAACATGGTTGGTTAGTGAAATGTAGGGCCTGAGAAAATATGAAATAAATAAAAATAGAAAATAAAACTTGTTAACTTAGAGATAGGAGAGTTGGCTGATGTTGTGCGTTGTTCTAGCCACACCGAAGATTTTCCAGCGAAAACACTCCGAATCAAACTGAGAATGCCCAATTCAACGGTACGCTCGTATGTGACATAATATCGACATTTGCAGCAATAATTAAACATTCGCAATCACGAGCCAGGGTTCAAAATTACTAGCAATGAAGCTAGGTGAGGACAATAGCAAGGAATTTCAAATTCATGGACCCTACAGCCACGCAGAAGCTTATTTCTCTGGTGAAGATTTCACAGCAAACTCTGTAAAATTAACTTCCGTTTGAGCCGATTTTTTGTTGTTCTATCAATGCGAGTTTTCTGACCCCGTAACAAGCATATTTTCTCTCTGCACCCGCAGAAGAAGGTATCAGTTGGGCTCTAAGACCTTCTACTTTGCTGCAATTGTTCTTCTCTTTGTTTCATAAAGTAAGTTCTTCCATGGAGGAAAACCACTTGGATCGACGGAGAATTCTTTTTAGAGGTGCTAGACCCATCATGGCTTGGAGGCTAAGAATCACCATAAACTAGCTTCTGGCAACAATTGCAACCTCAAAGGGTGGAGTGAAAATGGGATTGCACCCATTCCTTGGTATTTTTGCAATCGATGTGCCTGGATGTCGCCCAAATTTCGACTAGACAGGAGCCTAAGCAGCTTTTGCAAGCAGGACTCTTATCTCCCGAGGCACCTGATTCGCAACTCTATGCCACCAAGTCGTTTCACATCCACCCATCCCCAGCGAAAACATCTGGAGATGTCTGTCATAGCATTTGTCTCCGCGATTATTGCGTACTTTCGGACAAAGCGTTTCGGTAAACGGCTATCCTCAAATAGTGAACAACGCAAGGCCACAATGAGAGTCTTAAAGTGGGATAATACCGACCCAGAGTCGTTGCCGATAATTCCATCCTAGCCCTAGGAGGAATGCGACAACAATACAAAATTGCGGGACAGTAAATGCTCCAGAGGGTATTCATATGCCGTTGGCGTCCGCCATAGCCGCACTGTATTATCCCATTATCAAAAAGGTTGAAAAGAAACCGAATGACATTTAGATTTCTTTAGCATAACTAACAGATTTTCTTTTCCCTGAAAACGGCTCCTCTTCCAGGAGACAACAAACCTTACCTCAGCTACTTCAGACGGCCTTTCAAGGGCTCGCAGGCCATGCAGCTTACTTTTGAGCTGTAAATAGCCATATGAAGGATTTAGCACTGGCGTGAAAGTTATTTTGGCACTTTTTTTTTCATTGTTTGATCCAGTTCCGCTCCTGGCCCAGGTATAAATATCAGGAGCCCTAGGAGTTTGTCGATCAAAAAATCATTTCTTCCCGGACTTTGCGCTCTTCCAATCCTTACGCCATAAAAATAAAGCTGGGAATTCCAGGCTGGAAAGTAAACCGATACGAGCCTTATGTTCTTTCCTTGGCCATGGGGTTTGTGGATAGCTATATTACCTTGACCATTTTCGGTGTCGGTCTTCTACTTGTACGTTTAATCCTTATCCATTTGAAGGATGCCTAGAAACCTCTGACAAATCTTTCGCATTGCGTTTTTCCGAGTGATTATATATAGTACGTCGTGGGAAATGCGATATATAACATTTACTTCCACCCCCTAAGTAAATTTCCAGGTCCAAAGTACTTGGCTGTGGGTAGAATCCCCATAACTTTGGCGACCCTCCGCGGCCAGAAGGCACAATTTCGCTTTAATGCTCACAGAAAGTATGGGGACATTGTGCGCGTCGCTTCCAATGAGCTTAGTTTCGCACATGCTCAGGGATGGCGTGATATCTACGGCACTCAGGCCAAACTCCAAATGGCCAAACCTGCTAGCGGTATAGAGGAGCAAGAAGGGGCCCAGTCTGTTGTCACCGCTGAAGGAGACACCCACGTGCGGCAAAAGCGGATGTTGGCCACCATGTTCACTGAGAGAATACTGAAGGAAAAAGAGTCCCTTTTCATCAGCCATGAAAAATAGATGGTAAAGCGATGGGCGAGGCTTGAAGGACAACCAGTTGCTTCAGGTGATTGGTATAACTTTACCACGTTTGATGTGATGAGCGACCTCGTCTTTGGCGAACCGATCGGAATGCTATCCAATTCTGAATACGTACCTTGGGTTAGGTCCATTCACGGGTTTCTGAAAGCGTTTGCTTTCATAACAGTGCTAAATGAATACCGATGGTTTCGAGTTCTTTGGGCATTCTTTCCTTCGAAAATCCTCAACTCTCTACGAGAAACTCATTTCCTCTTCACCTCCCAAAAGGTGGAGCATTACCTGCAACTTGACGAAAAAACCCGCGCGGGCATGATGGGACACCTCTTGGACGGAGGCAGCCGCAAGGGCCTCAATTTGGGGGAACTCCACACAAACGCCCCCATTCTCATTTTCGGTGGCAGCGAGACTTCCGCCACCCAGCTCCGCTCCCTTAGTTTCCTGCTTTTCAAGAATCCCGAAAAATTAGGAAAATTGATATCCGAAATTCGGTCTGCGTATACTTCATCTGACCAAATCACATACGATTCACTCCTGGAGCACACCTACCTCAATGCCTGTATCGAGGAAGGGCTGCGATATTATCCGCCTTGTTCCAATGGATTGCCAAGAATAGTTCCAAAAGGTGGTACAACTATTTGCGGCGAGTTCGTTCCTGGCGGTACGAATGTTTCTGTTGCAACATATGCACTCTTCCGCTCACCTAAATACTTCATCCAACCGGATTCTTTCATCCCGGAACGGTGGCTTCGCGAATCCGAAGGAGGAAGTGCTGTCTTTGCAACGGATCAAAAGGGAATTGCCCTTCCGTTTAGCTATGGCCCGCATAATTGCCCCGGCAAAAAGTATGTTGTTTACTTTACTTCTCGGAAGAAGTACAGTCAATCTCTCTATGCTTGCAGTTTTCTCCGGAGCCGATACTTATGACATACTAATTTGATTCACAGGATGGGCTACTTCGAACTGCGACTTATTCTAGCCAAAGTTCTATGGCACTTCAACTTGAAACTTCTGCCCGAAGATGATGGTGCAGAGGACTCCTGGGACAATATGCGGAATTATCAAACATGGTCGAGACGTCCGCTTAAGGTATCAGCAAAGCCCGTCAGGAGATGACAAAATGTTTACTTCCCGATACTTTACATAATGCCATTTCCAGTGCTTTTATATCTTATTGTAAATATTGGGATACTTTCTGCTAGAATCAGAAAATGTCAATCATTTCCCATCTTACTTGCGGGGGGGATTTGCGTGGTCATTTGCTAAATAAGTGAATATGGGTGTGTTGATGACTTTTAACATTTGGCCTGTTTCTTCCACCGTTTTGTTTTTCCCTGTACATCAAGGCATGGGCTCTACGACTTTGCTCACGATGTATTACATGTGTGGGCAGTTCCGGCAAAATCTCCAATATGGTTAAATAGAAGGTTGGCAGCAAGTGAAATGTGTGGAAAATTATCACCAAAGAAAGCTGGCCCACTACACCCTTGCACACAGCAACTTGAATATTTTAGATGACTAAATGGAATGAAGAAAAGTGAAACGCATATAGACGTAAAAACAAAGAAAATTGCCGCTTGGCAAGCTAAAGGTGATATCACAGAAACAATAGCCAAGAGCCGAAACAGGTGGCGTTTCTTAGTTATTGTTCAGAAAGTAACTAACTATTCAGAACTGAACCCTTTCTCTGTATGGTGATAATTTAGTGATAAGTTTACGATTATAGTGAGCTTTGTCCTCATGTGACTGCAACCAGGAATGATTTTCATCAAGATTATTTTTCCCAGTAATCGAAGCAAATTGAACGTTGATGTGAAGTCTGAAATGAGCTAACCGTTATAATAGTGTCATAGGTATCCTAAATCTAATCTGCATAAAGAACGAACATGAAAGACGACAACCCAGGATAACAACGCAGAGCAGGAGGAACTCATAACACCTTCCACACTTGATCTTAAAGCTCGAAACAGGTGTCGACTCTATGAGCGGTAAGGGAGTTAGAAAGTAAGTAAACCTTGGTGCACATGCACGTAGTGTTGGACTGTAGAATTTCTGATGCGTTTATTCAAGCCAATCCCGAGCACGGATAGTACCCATCCCGGTACCTTCAGCCATATCCATTCGGAACTCACGTACAACTTGGTCCCAATCATCCCACGATGGTTCGTACATTAAAGAATGGGCATCAGAGCCAAGGATCGGCTCTTGGCTTTGTGGGGGTTGCTGAAGGAACGGTGACATTCCAGCAGCAGCAGAATAATGAGAGAAAACATCTCCTGGCTCCCAAAATGGGACAGACATAAGCGGTGGTTGTACATTTTGCTGTATGGGAGTAACCGAGGTTTGGATATCGAACGGGCTGTAGGATACTTTATCTAGATCCGTATTCATTCCCGAAGATAATCCATAAACGTTATTATTGATTTTTCCTTGCACCTGTAATGCAGGCGATATATGTTCCGAACTGCGTTCGGATCGAGGTTGCAAATGATCATCAATCGAGCCAAGAGGTTTGCCATCATATGCCCCTTCATCTCTATCTTGAATCTGAGTTTGAAGTTGCTGTAATTTGGTTCCACGGATTTGTGTCGCCCGCTTCATAAGTTTGTTAATAGCCCTCCAAATCACTCCTTTTCTCTCTTGGAGGTTCCAAATTTCGTACACCGAGTTTATCGCATGCCAGGCGCGGTCAACAGCCGGAGAAATGGGTCGTACACAAAGTTCAGACAACAAAAATGCGACAGAGCTCCATTGAGTATGAGTTCTAAATAACCAGCTCCATTTCTTCGTGTTCTCGTTAGTCTGCAGTAAACAAGAAAATTCGACGACGTCAATAGAGGCCAAGAAGAGGCGATTGTGCTTCTCATCAGCAAACCCAAATCTCCTGTTCTCTATCCCACTTAGCGGCTCGTGGATTGTGAGCCACAATCTGGTAAGAGCAAGACGGACTATCGTTGCACACACCCAAAGTATCGGCGTAGTCATGGTGCAATGCTGTACATATCTTTCTTCCATTCGTTTACTCAGTTCCAGAATTTGTTTTTGCCTGTCTTCTAGCGACATATCAGTCCTGGATCTGGAACAATCCACGCTAGGAGGGATGAAACTAAGTCTCCGGGCACTTGCAATGATTTCACAGCGAATGAGATGGAAAGTTAATTCTGTACATTCCACCCGCTCCTCAGGGGGTTCTGTTGATTCTTGGCAAATATCATCGTCGTTAATATTCAGCGGAATTCGTGCATCGTAGAATGGTTCGTAGATGAATGGATCACAACCGTGGTCTTCCGCCACCTGATAGTCAAGCAAACAAATATGCCACCAGAGGCGGCGCCGCATTTCTGTTTCGAATGGCTGTAATCCAAATGTTGACCCGTCGCGATGTACCCCGAGTCCTTGAGCCAACCTGACTACAATGGCTACCATTGACAATACATAGCGCGAATCATCTTGCCGCCTCACGCACAACAAGAAGAGGAGAGTAGCTTGGAGAAGAACTACACTTTGACAATTTAGGAGGTTTGCGCGCGCCATTGCCTGCTCCATTGCAAGTCGGGATCGTGAGAGCATTATATGACGCTCTTCTCCCAAAATCGATACGCATTGCGAAGAATCCATGCTTGTGATTGCCGCATAATATACGGCAAACATTGCTGCTTCGGTATTTTTGTTCAATGAATCTAAAGCTATTGTGAGCCCTGAAATAGAACTTTCGAAGAGTGAGTTTATGAAATATGGGAACCCATGGTGCCACATTCTCCAGATAAACATCCTCACAAAAGAAGCCTTTGATCAGGCGAGGATGGATATTCTCGTAGGGTTTTGGTCTAGTGAGCAAAAAACCGAATA